AGTTGTGGTGCCCCTAACATAGGAAGGACAGGGAGCAAGTCCAGAGGAGGCCACAAAGTTGATAAAGGTACTGGAGCAGCCTCCCTGTGGGGACAGGCTGGGAAAATGGTGTGTGGAGACCTCACAGCACCTTTCAGGATCTAAAGAGGGTATAAGGAGGACATAGAGAGATTCTATATCAGGAACTGGAGTGACAGGACAAGGGGAACGGGTTCAAACTGACAGAGGGGAGATTTAGGTTGGATATTGGGAAGGAATTCTTGGCTGGGAGGGTGGGGAGGCCCTGGCACAGGTTGCTCAGAGAAGCTGTGGCTGCCCCTGGATCCCTGGAAGTGTCCAAGGCCAGGTTGGAGCAACCTGGGCTAGTGGAAGGTGTCCCTGCCCCTGGCAGGGGGTGGGACTGGATGATCTGTAAGGTCCCTCCAACCCAAACCATTCTGGGATTCTAAGATGTTAAATTAGGAATTGTGAGGTTGGGAGAGAGAAAAGGAACATCTTTCTGGGCAGGTAAAGGACTATCCCAAACATGGCAAATATGGGGCTGTGTCTCCCAAAGGGTTGTCATGTGGAAGGTGAGGAACTCTGTGACCCAAGTTAATTAAAAACAACGGCAGTTTGGTGGGAACAGGACACTCTGTCTGTTCTCAGCCTCCTTGCAGTCAAAGCACTGATTATTTTTTTAATATCTTTTTTCCTACATATTTTATAACTTGTTCTTTAGCATCAAATTGGAAGCCAAATCCAATGGTGGAGGGAAATTAATTTCCTTGAATTGAAGAAGCAATCTCCTTGAGACTTTTTAATCATTAGATGATAACTGTGTGCTAAAGAAAGGAAGACCATTAAAGTAACTTAATAGACCAGGATAAACGTTTTTCCCTGTATCTCCTTCATCTTTATTTAGAGATCCATACTGAGGATATTTCATAAAAGCTGCTCTTCTTGACCTTTCATCAGTTATTGTGTAGAGGAACCAACCGAAATAATGGTGGGGAACTAACACTGTGGACTCCTGGATACAAACCCAGTAATTCTGCTCTTCCTTCCTGCCAAATTGTGTTTTTCCTTTCTCATTAAAGGAGGAATAGCTATGGGGACAAATAAAAATGCATTTAGCTGAGCTGTGTGATTTTTAAAAACAAGCTGTGTTAATGCTTTTAATTAAGGGGCAGAAGAATAAGAGGCTTTATCAGCTCTTTGTCTGCAGGCCATTATTTGGTTGTGGATGAGCAATCTGTTCTTGTCAACGTCCACCTACTTGAAGGATTTACTACAAAATCAAATGGTGTTTTTATTTCAATTCTCGAGCACTCTTTGATTCCTCATTTATTTAATATGGAGCATTGTTGCAAAGAAGAATGAAGCACTTAATTTGTGTTGCTTGAGGGACCCAAGGGCCACTTGGGAGCTTTGTGGTGTCCTGTGCTGAAACAGGATGTGCAGGAAAATGGAGAAGAGGAAAAGTTGAAGGTGAAGTTGCTAAATCTCAGTTAGAATCCCAGAATGTGCTGAGCTGGAAGGGACCCACAAGGATTGTGGAGTCCAACCCTCAGCCCTGCACAGGCCCAGCCCCAAGAGTCACCCCCTGTGCCCCAGAGGATCATCCAAACCCTCCCTGAGCTCTGGCAGCCTTGGGGCTGTGCTTCCAAGAGTGTTTTGGGAAGGATCACTGACTCTTTGCTCTATAAATTGAAGTCACATTGTAAAGTCTTGGGAAGAATTTCTTTCCCTGTTCAAGTGGGGAGGCCCTGGCACAGGTTGCCCAGAGAAGCTGTGGCTGCCCCAGCCCTGGGAGTGTCCAAGGCCAGGTTGGAGCACCCTGGGGTAGTGGAAGGTGTCCCTGCCCATGGCAGGGGTTGGGACTGGATGGGCTTTAAGGTCCCTTCAAACTCAAACCATTCTGGGATTTCATAAAATAATAATGAAAGCAGCTCTCTCAGGGTACAGCTCCTGTTCTTGGCTCTTGAGCCGTTTCCAGTTCAGAAAACATTGTTTGCCCGCTGGTGAGTTCCCAATGATCCACACTATTGGGTCAAAAATGAAGTTTTATTTGTCTGAAACTTTCACCTGGATTCTTTTTCTGGCTTTTAACTGTTCTCTGAGTGCTTTAAACAGACCTAACAGATTTTGACTGGAGAAGTCAGAGATTCCCATGTTCCACCACACTTATTCCCAGTGGAGGAGATGAACTGGGTTGTTCATACTCTGTATAAAACCAGAGCAATTTACCCTTCTATTTATTTCCAGGAGGTAATCTGGGGTAATGGAGCTATTAGATTTGGCATCTGTAACGTGGTTATCATTTCAGAAAGAATTGTTTCTGCTAATGGCAGTTAACTTGCTACAAATAAAGCAATAGAATTGAAATCTTAAGTACTAGAGTGGCAGCAAACCATGAAACATTATCCTGCTTAGTGGAAGGAAGGCTGAGCCTGCTGTTGGGGAAGGAATCTATTGAAAAAAAACCCCTTTGATGGATTCCAATTCCAACTAATTTAATATGGCAGCTCTTCTACCAGTCTATTCAAAGTATTAAAATGTCTCTAAATAATAATAAAGTGGCCAGAACCTTTTGTCCAAGGAGCTCAGGGGTTTCACCAAGATGAATTTGGCCTCTGCCATGAGGTTACTGAGCCCTGAGGTGCCTTGGGGATCCCAAATGCTCCTCTGGCAGATTTGGGCACTTTGTGTGGTGTGGATGGAGAGGTTGAGCCTGGGCCTGGTCCTTGTTTTCTGTAAGCCAGGTCTGGGTATTTTCAGGGGTGTTTTCTACCTCTACAAGTCAAAACTTAGTTTATACTTTAATGTGCATGGACAAGCCATGGAGTGGGTTTTGAGCCAGGATTTTGGGGGTTGCTGTTAAAATACGTGATCCTGTTGCCCCGTTTCTACCTCAAGACCAACATCCCCCTGGAGAACAGGCATTTGTGAGTGGTGTGAGATTCCCAGGTACACGAGTTCCACCCTGTGAGTCTTCCCTGGGCAGCACAAGGTCCTGCAGGGGTGGTGGCCATCCTCCCTGCTCCAAGCTCTGAGGTCAGGGTGGGCAGGGGGTCCCACAGCTCCCCCAAAAAAGCAGCACCTTGGCACAGCTTAGCTCCGTTCAATTCATTCCTTGTCACCCCCCTGCTGATCTGAGGGGATCCTTGGCTTTTTTCTTTACAGCATGGATTCAAAAGCGAGCAGTTAAATGGGAGAAAGCCTTTTATATTTCTAATTTAGCACAGAAAATATCCCAGGGGGTAAACTTTCCCCACACCATAACACAGAGTGTGTCCCCGAGCAGCCAGAGCGGAACGAGATGGTTTGTTCAGTGCCGTGCTCTGTGGAAAAATGGGATTTTATGGAGAGGGTCAGGAGTGTTTAACCACTCAAAAAATACCCTGAAATGTGATCTTGGTGTGTGTGACTCAGAACAGCATCCTGAGCTCAGGGTAGCTGGGTGAGCTGGAGAACTGGGCCAGTGTTTTGCAAGTAATGAGGGAGGGACACAGCCAGGGTCCTTGTAAACACAACCATCTATTACATCCTTAAACTTGCACAGTTATGAGAAATTAACCCCTGACACTGCATTTTTCCTCACTCTTTGTGCTATTCATTGATGTCAGTGTTGTACCACTCTCATTTTTCTCTGTTATTTCCCTGACCAGACCCCAACCTCGGCTGCTCTTGCAGCGTGGAGCTGAGCACTCTCAGGTTTTTTTGAGGTTTTGCAGGATGGATGTGACATCTCTAACCCAGAGCCCTGTTGGTACTGGGCAAATGACCCAGCTGATGGTTCTGCAAACAGTTGTCTTGAGTTTTTAAAGGATTTGCAGTGACCTCATTGCTCTTAGTGATGGCTCCTCTGTGATGTATTATAAAGATCCAAATGGGAAACCCACTTTCACAGGATTCCATAAAAACTGCTGTCTGTCCTAAAGTTTACTCTGTTACTAGACAGAAGTGGAAAGGAAATGTCATTTTTACATTTCCTTCACTTATCACAGAATATGAGAATATGCTGAGTTGGAAGAGACCCACAAGGATCAGAGTCCAACCCTCAGCCCTGCACAGGCCCAGCCCCAAGAGTCACCCCCTGTGCCCCAGAGGATCAGCCAAACCCTCCCTGAGCTCTGGCAGCCTTGGGGCTGTGGGCATTGGAAACCCAAAGGAGTCGTGTCCTTGCCCATGGACACCACAAGGTGTTTCCAGCAGAGCTTCTCTGTAATTTAACCCCAGGATGTCTCTTTCTCCAACCTGTTCACAGTGACGTGAACTTGAATTTGGGATCATGTCATTGCAGTGGGAAAATAACCTCTTCAAAGGTCCTTCGGGCACCAGGGAGAGGATTGTCCCACTCTGTTCTGTCCTGGGGTGGCCTCACCTGCAACATTGGGGTAGTTTGGGGGGACACAATGTAGGGAAGAGATTGAGCCATTGGAGAGTGTCCAAAGGAGGCCACGAGGATGGGGAAGGGCCTTGATTTGAAGCCGTGTGAGGACACTGAGGGCACTTGGTGTGTTCAGCTGGAGCAGAGGAGGCTGAGGGGAGACCTCAGTGCAGTTCCAAGTGCCTGGGCAGGGGCAGAGGAGGGGCAGGGACTGAGCTCTGCTCTGGGGGGACCAGGGACAGCAGCCAGGGAATGGCTGGAGCTGTGTCAGGGCAGGCTCAGGTTGGATCTCAGGCAAAGGTTCTTCCCCCAGAGGCTGGTTGGGCACTGCCCAGGCTCCCCAGGGCAGTGGGCACAGCCCCAAGGCTGCCAGAGCTCAGGGAGGGTTTGGCTGATCCTCTGGGGCACAGGGGGTGACTCTTGGGGCTGGGCCTGTGCAGGGCTGAGGGTTGGACTCCAGGATCCTCGGGGGTCCCTTCCAGCTCAGCACATTCTGGGATTCTGAGCTCACTCCTTGCCGCGATTTCTCCGGGATAACCAGTGGTAGGAGACACCTGAAGCCAACAGGAGCTTTGCAGAAATTATCCCTCAGCCCATTAAAACATTGGAGAATGTCACTAACTGTGCCTTCCCGGGGGTTTCTCTCCGTGCAGGACACCGGCCATGATCGGCTGCTCCTTCGTGGTGAACAGGAAGTTCTTTGGGGAGATCGGGCTCCTGGATCCCGGCATGGACGTGTACGGAGGGGAGAACATCGAGCTGGGCATCAAGGTTGGTGACACACTTGCAGGAGAAATTTCACCCAGCAGGATTTAAGGAACCCAAAGCGACAACTTTAACAAGTTGGCATGAGCAGTTATTGGAAGGCTTCGGGGGGACTGAGCAGGGATGGGATATTTGTAGCATTTTAATTTCAGTTTAAGGGGGAAAATGACTTGGTTTTAGGGGTAAGAGGAGTTTTTTTCCTTGGATTCTTATCTGTCTGACCTGAGGCAAAAAGCTACTGAGATGAAATGGCATTTCCAGCTTAAACAGACCCTGGTCATGTTGTCACATGTCGCTGTAAAGTTATACCAGGAAGAATATAGCGCCACTTTTGTGGTGTGACAGTCTTGGGGGGGGGTTGATGGGACTCTTGTGAATATCTCAAGAAGACACAAAGCCCAAAAATACTTTCCAGGCATTTACATTTGCAAATAAAACACGTTCAAAACCAGACAAAACCTGCTTTTCCCAGTGAAACCCCCCGATTGCAGAGCTGCCTCAGAGCATCCTTCCAGACTCCACTGTGACAGCATTACTTGATTACTATGTACAATATTAGATATGGCTTAGTGATTCAAGTGTTTGCACACACTGAAGTGATTCATAAGCAATGAATTCAGTGTTCAGAAGCAACCTGGGCTGGCAGAGTCTGTGGAGATTTTTCCAGGCACGGTTTGGAGTGCGGCACTCGTACGTTAACGAGCTGATAGGGGGAGGCTGGAGAGTTATACCTGGAAAATTGCATTGATTGTGCTGTTGTAAAAATGAAAAATCATTGTTCAAGCTCATAGATTTACCAGAGGATATTTGCTTTGCTGGCAAGCCAGGGGAAACTTAAGAAATCTATTGTTTGTCGGCTATGGGGAGCAATAATCTCACTTAAACAAGGGAATGGAAATGAAAGGCTTTAAATGTGCCACAGAGCTTCTCTACATGTGGAGTAATTACTGCTCATCATTGTGTGTCTGGAGAGATCCCAAACCAAGCTCTTCTGGTGGCTCTCCTTGACTGTTTGTTTGTGGGATTTTTCAGTCTCACTGTGGAGTGAGTCTTCTCACAATTAGTAATTCAACCCATCTGCTGGGTTTGGGGGCATTTCGTTGAAGTTTGGCTTCTCAACAGGAACAATCAGATGGATGTCTCAGGGACAAGTGATGAGCATATGTCCTCTTCTTTTTCACATGCTGATTTTTTTAGAAATATCTAAAAAACATCCTTTTGAACAAATAATCCCTCTCTTCCCCAAGTGACTTTCCCAAGCTTGTGTTTCTAATCCATATGTTTGCCCATTCACGTGCTGCGTGTTCTGGACAAGGTTTTAAAGTCATTGGTGATTTTGAGAGCCAAAATCCTTAGAAATCTACCTTGTAAGGCTACATAGAAAGTAGATTTTCAAAGATTCTTGAGCCCCAAAAATCAGCCCCTGTGCAAGTGTCTTGTTAGTGGCCAACAGCTCATGACCCATCAGTCCCAGATACATGTTGACCAGATAAACACTGGCCAGTATTTTTCCAGTTAGGCACCAAAACCCACATAAAAATTGAGGCTTAAGGATGTTTCCAGATAAAAATCAAGTTAACTGGGAAGAAAGAAAGAGGCAGAATAGGAGTGACCTTGGAAAAGGTCTTAGAAACACGTCAGATACATGTTGGCCACTGTGTGCAGGTCAGGAGGCTCGTAGGGAGGTCCTGGGAATGGTGGTTGCCAGATGTCTGAGTTCCACTTCCCAGTAAGATTCCAGTTATAAAGAGTTTAGCCAAGGAAACGGAGAGTTCTGGATTCAGTAGGAATCTGGAACAGTTGTTCTGGATTCAAGCAGTTGGCAGATGGATTTATCTGTGTCTGATGGTCCTGGTGTACAGGTTGCCAGCCCTTCCCCCTGTGCTGACACACTGGGGGCTGTAGCTGCCATATCCTGGTAAAGAAGGACTCTTCAGTAATAAAATCCTTTTAAGGATCAAGGAAAAGAGAATTATTAAGACTTTTTGTGGGTCTTTTGCTGTTTCACCTGATAAGTGCCTCTCTGGAGTCAGAAAAGTATTTTGGTGGCTCCTCAGTTGGTTCAGTGATTCCTGGATGAAAATAAAGGCAGAAAGGATTTCTTTGCTGTTTTGATGATGGTGCAAATTCCATCATCATTCTGAGAATCATTTGAGCCTTTTTAAATATTTCATGGAGGAAACTGTCCCATATCATCAAAAATGAGATAATAAACCCATTGAGGCGACAAGGAGGACATGGAAAAATGACAGTGTTACAGGCAAAAGCACAAGTTTAACTCTGTTGTGGTAAATTAAATACGAATAATCTGAATAACAAAATGAAATAAATGGTTGAGAGGGTTGGGCTGGACTAACCTGGAATGGCCAGGGCCATATATTGTCCAAGAATCTTGTTTTATTGATGTGCTTCGATGTGATGGAATCAACATCCCTGGAGGGTTTTAACAGATGTGTGGATGTGGCACTTGGGGACCTGGGTCAGTGGTGGCCTTGGCAGTGCTGGGGGAACAGTTGAACTCAATGGTCTCAGAGGGCTTTTCCAACCTAAGTGAATCCACAATACTGTAAAATCAGCTGTCCTGGACCTATTGTGGTGAAATATATGGGCCATATGTTTCTTTCAGCTGCTGAATTTAGTGAGCAAAATGAGAAAGTTCCTGCAGGAGCCACTTAAAAAAACCAGTAACAAACTGTTAGTCCCATTCCCAGGGTGGCTCTGCTCTCCTACACGTGCTGGGAGCATCCTGGACTGCTCAGAGAATAATAATAAAGCCATTAAACATGTTGTTGCCCCAGGCACAACCCTGTTCTGCTGGCGGGGTGTCTTTGGCCCTGACACAGGAACGTGCTGTTCTCCGGGTTATTGGATCTTCTTTTGTGCCCCTGGAGTGTCTCCAGAAGGTTGTGCTCATTCACTCACTCCTCTGGTCCCCAGTGTCCACTGCTTCACTTCCTGAGACAGAACTGAGTCTAATTCCTCTTTCCTTGGCAGAGAGCAGAGAAGTGTTTGCAAAGCAAAGCAGGGAAGGCTGATATTTCAACGGAGAGGTTTTCAACGCCCTTTTTTTCTCCCTCCCCACAAAGTGTGCCTTGAAACGAAATCATAACAGCACCAGGTCTTCCTTGCTGTGCTGACAGCCACAGGGAGCAAGGGGTTGATCTGTCCTGGTGTTAACTCCCCCCCCCCAAGACTGTTTGGGGAAGAGCTGGTGAGCAGGGGATTCTGGTGAAGCTGCTGGAGCCCAGGTTTGGAGGCATCTCACGCCTGGTCTCAATTTCCACACTGGAACAGGGAGAGCCCCTCTGCTCTGGGACAGGCTGGGAGAGCTGGGAGTGCTCATCTGGAGAAGAGAAGGCTCTGGAGACACCTTACAGCCCCTTGCAGGGCCTAAAGGGGCTCCAGAGAGCTGGAGAGGGACTGGGGACAAGGGATGGAGGGACAGGACAAGGGGAATGGCTTCCCACTGCCAGAGGGCAGGGATAGATGGGATACTGGGAAGGAATTGTTGGCTGGGAGGGTGGGGAGGCCCTGGCACAGGTTGCCCAGAGATGTTGCTGCCTCTGGATCCCTGGAAGTGTCCAAGGTTGGACGGGGCTTGGAGCAACCTGGGCTAGGGGAAGGTGTCCCTGCCCATGGCAGGGGTGGGATGAGATGGTCTCTAAGGTCCCTTCCAACCCAAACCATTCTGGGACTGTGTGATTCTATTCCTGCAGGCTCCCACCGCCTGTCCTGGGCAGGGTGTGGGTGCTGTGGGTGCTGTGGGTGCTGTGGTCCCTTCTCCAGGCCCAATTCCTGCTCTGGGTCTCAGAAAGAACAACCTGCTCCCTCTGACCAAGCTTTGAGCCAACTCTTTTAACCCTTTGCTGTGTGGAAGGGGTTTCTCCTCTGATTTGATAGACCTGGTGCCCAGTTTTCGTGGCTTGAAAGTGTTGCCTCTGCTGTGGGTGCCCACCAGCTCCATGTGGGTATTTTGGGACAGAGACCTCACTGACCATCTCAGCTCCTGTTGCTGAAAAGGTTTCATTTATTTTAAAGCTGTTTGTGGCCCAGGTTTTAGTGAGTGTGTGACTAAGTGGGGAGGCTGCAGTTGCTCCATGTCTCGCTTTTTATCTGCAGGGAGCCTTAATGGGTTTTCATGGTTAGTCACAGCCATTCCCTAAAGATGGTCCATAAAATTGCTGGTGTCTATTTGAATAAAGATGCAAAAGTCTGTGGCATGGCTGTTGCCGTGATTTCAAACTCTGGGATGGGCTACAAGGTTGTTTTCAGAGTATTTTGTGCTTGTGTCATGCATTGCTAATTAAACTTATTTGAGTTGTCTTTCCGAGATTAATTTAATCAATAGGGATATTATTACTACTTTGATGGTATCATTTGTACAAATTGTCACTTGAAGAAAGCAATTAACTGGGAATGCTTATTAGCTGATCCATCCCACACCTTATTTGTGCAGTAGGAATCGATTCCTGGATTCATTAAGATGAGCACAACTCAGGGATCCTTTTGAGGTTCAATGACTGGCTCGAGCTGCTTTTTACTGCCAGTGTTAAATTGCCTGAAGTTTGGGATGGATCTTTTAAAACTATTTCCAGAAGAAAAGCTTGGCATGTCCTCTTAATATCCCAGACTTTTTTTACCTTAAATTTGTCCTCTGGATCCAACAGGCTGGATTGCTGGTGCTGCCAAGACAGTGGATGTGTGCCTGGAGCACATGGAGTGCCCTCCCTGTGCATGGCTCTGTGGAATCATAGAATGCCAGAATGGTTTGGGTTGGAGGAGACCTTAAAAATCACCCAGTTCCACCCCCTGCCATGGGCAGGGACACCTTCCACTAGCCCAGGTTGCTCCAACCTGGCCTTGGACACTCCCAGGGCTGGGGTAGCCACAGCTTCTCTGGGCAACCTGTGCCAGGGCCTCCCCACCCTCCCAGGGAACAATTCCTTCCCAATATCCCATCTAGCCCTGCCCTCTGACAGTTTGAAGCCACTGCCCTTTTCCTGCCACTCCAGGGCCTTGTAAGTAGTTTCTCCCCATCTTTCTTGTAGTTCCTTCAGGTCCTGGAAGGCCAAAAATCAGATCACCCCAGAGCTTCTCTTCTCCAGGCTGAACAATCTGGATCCTCTCAGCCTTTCCTCTCAGCAGGGGTGCTTTGAAAATAAATGGGTACAACAAGGGCATATCATTGTTAGAGGAGATTTCTTTAATAATCAGAGTCTCACCCTGCAGCACTTTAGGCACAAAATTAACCCCCTGCACTGGCAGGGACGTGGATCCTTTCCCAGGGTGCCATGTCTCTGTACCCTTCACTCTTCCAGAAACCCTTAAAAGAGATGAAATGGCACTTCAATGGGACAAATCTCCTGCCTATGTTCCAGCCATGAAGGAGCCTGTTTTGTTTATATGAGTGTGATCATTCACAGGCTGAAACGTTGAGAGGGTCAGGCAAAAAAAAAAAAAGAAAAAGAAAGCCATCAAATAGATATATTTAAATTCCACACAGGAGCTTGACTCTTTCTGCATTCAGAAAGTGAAATCCTTCTCTTCCTGCATTCATTTTCTGTAAAATTATGGTTTTATCTTTTTGTTAAGGAGCAAACAGTGAGGGGGGTGTGAGGTGAGGGCCGGGCAGCCTGTATCCCATGGGAGGCAGAGGATCCCCTGTGAGTGGGAGCTGAGGAAGGGTGGCAGGGCTGCCAGTCCTGAGAAAGATACTTTGGGTTTTTAATCCTCTGTTTTTGTAAAAATAAATACACCACTAGCCCAGCCTGCCTGGGAACATGGACTGCCATGTGGATACCCTGTGGCTTTCCATGACCTTGTGCCTGTCACAGAGAGTGATGGACGTGAGCGTGAAGGGGAGCACACCAATCCCAGTCCTGACTGGGTTAGTGCCTGCATGGACCTAATATCTAAATAGTGCCTGTCATCAGAACATAAAAAATACCCCTGGTTAGGCTGCAGTTATTTTTTTAATGTCAACCAAACACAGACATCTCAAACCAGGAGTCACGTCCTGCCTCTGCCACGTGTTAATGGAGACAGGGTTTGCCGAGGGTTTGTGTTTGATCTTCTTCAAATGCCTCTCTCTGTCTGTCTCCTCCCTGCTCCTCTGATTAGCATATTAAAGGCTGGGTGCGGGCAGAGCCAGCTGACAGCAGGCAGCCCCTGCAATGCCTTTTTAAGCACCCTGTCCATCAGTGCCTGGTGTGACTGTCACCTCTCCCGTGACGCACTCCGAGGGTTTGGGATGCAGAGCGTGGTGGAATCCAGGAATCTCTTGATGCTGCATTGTTACATTTTTTTATCACTTTGAAAAACAGGGAGCTGAAAAGCATGTAATTTATTCTTTATTAGACTTTGAGGGTTTGCTGAGGTGCAGGAGTTAGGGATGACTCCAGTTCCTTGGGGGCTTTTTCCCCCATCTGCACCTCGGTTTGTGCACTGAATTAGTCATGGAATTACATATGCTGCAAGGTTTTTTGGGAAGTGTGGGAACAAATCAGCCTGAATTTGGGAGAGAAGGACTTTGGGAAGCACAAACAGATGCCTCCCAAGCTTTATTCTGTGGTTGGTTGCAGGAGGTTTTGGCACATGTGGTACAGGGAAGGAGAGTTCAGCTTTGGGGAGCTGAAGGCTTTGGGGTGGAATTCCCAGGAATCAGTTAATTATCTGGGACTATTCAAATATCCACTGTTTGGACACTCCTGAGAATTTATACTGATTTTAACTGAGAATGTAGCTTCACCAAGTTGGTCAGGTGTAGGGGATGCAGTGCCAGTGGTGGGGGATGCTTGGGTGGGGCTGTGGGCAGGAGGGGAATCCCAGAATGGCTTGGATTGGAAGGGGCCTTAAAGATGATGCAGTTCCAACCCCTGCCATGGGCAGGGACACCTTCCACTAGCCCAGGTTGCTCCAAGCCCCATCCAGTCTGGCCTTGGACACTTCCAGGGATCCAGAGGTAGCCACAGCTTCTCTGGGTAACCTGTGCCAGGGCCTCCCCACTCTCCCAGAGAACAATTCCTTCCCAATATCCCATCTAACCTGCCCTCTGGCAGTGGGAAACCATTCTCCCCTGCCCAGGCCCTTGTCCAAAGTCCCTCTCCAGCTCTCTGGGAGCCCCTTCAATCACTGGAGGAGGCTCTGAGGTCTCCCTGGAGCCTTCTCTGAAGCCTGATCTGCAGGGTGAAGCTCTGTGGGGATGGATCACCTCTCCCTCCTCCATCTTCAGGCACAAAGAGCCTCCCTAGCACGGAGGAGAGGGATTTGATGCCCTCTCACAGACCTGCTGATGGTTTGCCAGGACTCCAGACACTCCTGCTGTTCAGCAAACATCAGAAAAACCCCATGAAAAGATAGCAAAACAAACAAACAAAAATCCCACAACGCAAACTTGCCGATGATACAAACTCGAGACCAGTTTTTAACAAGTATTTTATCAGTCAGGCACTGAAATCCACATAAAAATTGAGGCTTAAGGATGTTTCCAAATAAAAATCAAGTTAACTTGGAAGAAAATAAGAGGCAGAGTAGGACTGACCTTGGAAAAGGTCTCAGAAACTGTGATACACCAGGAATACTCGACCTCCGTGAGCAGCCCCAGTGTGTTCATTTGTACCTGGATCCCTGGTAGAGGAGATTTTGCTCTTCAGAGTGACTGGGGCGTGGCTGGAAGCAACATTTCCACCACTGAACAATATCCAATCACTGCCTGCATTTATTTTAAGTGCAGGAATCAGCACAAGTGTGGACTCAGAGCCCATGTTTGTCATGGGAGATGCTCAAAGGTGCTTTGTCGGGAGCTTGAGTCCAGTTTTCCAAACTGGTAAAATGCTTTTCATCACAACCTTCTCCATGGAAAGGGAGCTGTGTTTTTATTATTTCTAAGCAGGCTGTAAGCTCTGCACTGGGGGCTGGAGAGCTCAGGGCTGGGTGTTGTAGCTGTTGCTCCTTGGGAAGGGGATGGCAGCTCCCAGCTCGTTTTCCTCTTGGTGGCAAATGGTTTGTCATCACTGTTATCCTCTGACAGATGGGACAGGTAGAGGAGGGGAAAGGCACTATTTTCACCCCAGTTAATCCCACTGTTTTCACTGACAACTTGATTTTTTATTCCTGATCATCTTTGTTGGGAAACATGATGGCTCCTCCCGTGCAATAAGGCTGAGATTCCCTGGTGGATGCAGAAATCCCTGGGAGGACTCAGCCATGCCTTGTCTCCACTTGAAACCCTGGCAGGTGTCAGCTTTTTAGTGATTTTCCCAGAATTTTCTCTGGCAATCAGTGCTTGGGACCTGTCAGGACTTGGTTTAAGACTCTGGTCCACGGTCAGAGTCCAGCCTGGGCTTGGGCTGGGTGCAGAAAGACAGATATGGAAGCAGGCACAGCATCTCTGCAGCTAAAGGGGCTGTGGAGAGCAAGGACAGGTGGCTGTGCAGGTTTGTAGAGACTTGGCAAAGTTTGTTTTATTTATGATCTTCACCAGTGGATTTTAGAAAATGAAACCTGAATCCCTCAGGAGGTCATCCCGTGTCTGACTCTGCTGCTCCTCCTGAACAGAACTGATCCCCCAGGCCTCTTTCCACTAGATTTTGGGGAGGTTTGGATTTCCTCTGCTATGGGATTTGGACCCCACTGACCCTGTCTACTGAGGTTGCTCCAGGGGCTCCTCAAGCTCCCAGCCCTTCCCACCTCCAGGCTGGGGACACCAAAGGCACCTCCAGTGTCCCCAGGACAGGTTGAATTTTTATGTGTTTCTTGGGCATGACATCCATTCCTTGAACTTCCCCTGAGCTCCAGCTCTCCATCCTCTGTGGAGAAACCTCCCCCCCTCTGCCAGAGGAGGCACCTGAGGCTGCGTTTTCCCCCTTTCCTGCTCAGGGGCTCATTTGTCCCTGGCCATGGTCCCTCAAGGTTTGATGTGGGAATTCCTGAGCCCTTCCAGCTGTGGGGTTGGGGCCTCCCCATCCATATTTGATGTTCTGGCTGTAGGAATAAGACATGCCTGCTGCCTGCTCTGGTTAAACCAAAGCTGAGCTTGGCAGGACCTCCTGAGGGATTTAGGCTCCATTTTCTAAAATCCACCAGTGAGGATCATAAATAAAACAAACTCTGCCAAGTCTCTGTGAGTCTGATTTGTGCAGGTGTTTGCAAGACAGATTTTGGTTTTCACAGATTCACTGAAGCTGGAAGAGACTTCCAAGATCAGAGTCCAACCTGTGCCCCCCTTGTCCCCCAGCCCAGAGCTGAGTGCCACCTCCAGTCCTTCCTTGGACACCTCCAGGGGTGGGGACTCCAAACCTCCCTGGGCAGCCCCTTCCAGTGCCTGACCACCTATTCCATGGAGAAATTCCTCCTGATGTCCAAGCTGACCCTCCCCTGGCACAGCTTGAGGCCTCCTGTCCTGCTGTCAGTAGTTTCCAGGGAGAAGAGGCTCTGTGGCAGTCCTGGGTGGAATACTCAGGCATCCTTTCATCTCCCACTCCAGGGATACCTCCAGTGCCCCCAGATCCTGCCTCCAGCCAGTCCTTGCTGCTGTGGGGAGGACTCAAAAGGAGCAGCAGGAGTTGCCCTGGGGAATTCCAGCAGGCTTGGCACAGCCAGGCTCTCCCCCTCTCTGGTCTTGCAGAGAAATAAATCACTTAAATCCTATATTCCCCTGCATTCTTTATGAGCCCCCTGCCCATCCCTGGGCCATGGTCACATTGCCAGCACTGAGATGTCAT